TAAAGGCGCTTAGCGGCTGCTCCCTGAGCCGGGCCCCCAGGCCGCGGCCTGACCGTGGGCTTAGGAGCCCGATTGCCACCCACCCCGCAGTCTCCTCCACCTGCAGCAGGGACAGCGTTTACGACCTCGAGTCAGACGCTACTCAGACTCTAACGAAGAAAAACAAATACAGAACTATGGGGTGACTTTCAATGCCTCTGGGATCGGCTGAATGTCATTTCTTTGACCACCGACACGAGGGTCGGGGACCCACCGAAGCACGTGATGGTCAGGACCCTGCCGTCCGCTGTTGCTGTGGCCCAAGCTCACCAAGAGGTCCGACTTCTGCTTCTGCTCCTTCGAACCCTTCAAGCCCCAAGGAGCGTCTGCACTTACTAACCCATCTCTGAAGGTCACCCGCGTGACAAGCCTCAGATGGACAGTATCTTGTCCCTCCCTCTGAGGCTCTGCTCCTAGAATCTCCACGTTCCCTGCTGTGTGGCCTCCGGCAAGTCTCTGGACGTCTCTGTGCCTTAGGCTGCTCGTCCAACAGACGGAATATAATGCTCCCGCCTGCCGGGTGGTTGTGACAGATGCACGGATACGCGAAGAGTTTCCGGTAGCAGTGACGTCTCTACAATGACGGGTTTTCTCGGGCGTTGACAGGAGAGTCCCGTGGCTGCTCTCACCAGCCTGAGTTGAGCAGATTCCTGCACTTCGCTGGTATTTACGCTGCACCAATCGGCCGTGGAGTAGACGTTCAAGAAACGCTTGCTTTCTTGACTGATTTGAGGCCTGGGTGGGTTTGGGGGAGGTTTTTCCTTCTCTGCGCCGTTGGCCCAGCTGGGGCTTGTGTCAGACTTCCCCGAAAGTCATGTCTTCGTTTTAGCGAGGACGAGCTGGGCGCGTCCCCACCGGTTACTGGAGCAGCTCCTGGCCGCCCCGCCAGCCCCCGGAACCCGGGGTCCACTCAGTCAGGAGGGGTCCCTGCTGTCCCTGACTGTGGAGCCCGCGCACAGAGACCTTTGGGGGCTCCGACCCCAGCGGCCCCACCGCGGGAGCCGGGCCGGAGAAACGCTCAGGGCTGGGGGGGAGGCAGGTCGTGAGCACTGCCTACACTCGGGGGCCCTGCCCCGGCCTGGGCCCCTGGGCCCTCTCCGCGTGCTTGCCCAAGCAGCCTGGAGCCTGTGTTGAGGAGGACTCTGAGGGTCACTGGGACTTGGTTGTCTGCCCGTGGCAAAGACAGAGGTGTGGGGCCGCTAAGCTGGGCTTCCGCCAAGGCCTGGCTTCAGGCAGCCCCCGGGGCCGGGCTGACGCCGCTACGTTCCTATGGGACAGTGTTCCAAAAGCTACTTTGTACCAAGTTGTGTCTCGCTCAGAGCCCACGGAGTGTGTGCTGTGAGTGTCCGCAAGCCCCGGTATAAGGTGTGAGTGGGACGCCCTGCGGGGCCTGGCCTGCAGTGGGCGTACACAGGGCATCCGGTGGCCCACCTGGCTGACACCCTTCATAAGACAGGTGTTGATGAACGGGCAAACGTCCGCTTGATGGCAGATAGAGGCACCCCTCCTGGCGTCCCTGAGTGCGCCATGGACAGCGCAGCCTCGGACCTGCCGTCCATCCGACTGGACACGGGTCTGACCTCAGCACCGCGTCGCCTGGAGGCACAGCTCGTGCTGGGGCTGCAGCCAGCATGGGGCAGGCGGGGTAGGACATGCAGGGCACCCATTCTGTGCACACCTTACCGAGGCCCCCAGGTGGTTCCCACGCAGGCCTGAGCCGCAGACCCGCCAGGCAAGGGCGCGCAGCCTTGGGAGATGCGGGCCTGGAGCTCTGAGGAGGGGCGTGGGCCTCAGGGCTGCACGTCTTCATCTGCACCCAGGGCCACTATGGTCCCAAAGGGCTCCCAGATGGGGGTGGACTAGTCTGGAGCTGAGCCGGGTCCCAGGGCGGCTAAACTGTGAGGCGAGGGGTGGTTCCCGCCGAAGGGGTGAGTGGGCCACGTGTCCCCTGCCCTGTGCTGGGCCCCCAGCCCCGCCCCTGCAGAGCCCCAAAAGGAAGTGCTGCCCTCTCTGCGACCAGACCCTCATTGACCTCCCGGACGTGATTCTGTGACAGGCTCCTTGCCCGGGGGTCTCCTTTCACATCTGGCTGAGACAGGAATGCTGGAAACGGGGAGTTATCTGTGCAGCATTGTGCTCACACAGAGCCGTTCTGTGAAGGCGCGGGGCCTCGCCTGACCCTTTTATTGGGCCCGCGGGTGGGGCGACCCCCTTCCTGTCCAGACTTCTGACCCTGGAGTGCCAGGGAGGCTTGCCCATTTCCCCGAGGGTTCCTCCATTTCCTGCTGAGCCAGCAGTCACCATGTCCTCTGCCGCAAAGTGCGGGCCTGGCCCACATGGAAGAACTGCCCACTGCACCCGCAGGTCCAGATCCCGGGGGCCAGAAGCAAGCAGGTGACAGCAACAAGCCCCTCGCGCCATGGTCCTTACTTATTTCCAGCTCTCTGAGGGGTAGGCAGTGACCACATAAGCCGGAAGGACCTCTAGATGGAGTCCATGCCTATGGACCCACCTGTGTGCTGTTTCCGGCTCGGGCTGTGCACAGAGTGACACTATCGTTCACACCTAAAAAGGGGCCTTCGACCTAAGACACAGTATTAGAATGCGTTCTGCCCCAGCAACCTCACGAGTGTGGGATCTACAGCACGGCTGCAAGCTGACACGGCCCCGCGGTCAGCAGTCCACGGGCTCCAGAAATCCTGCACCAGCCTGTGTGCACGTCAGGAAGAACTTTGCCGAACTAGCTGGATTCCAAATGCTGCCGTGGGAAGTCACCGTGTCACGCGCCCCTCGCTTCCCCTGTTCAGCGCAAGTTCTTTGAGCTCCTATCGCAGCGGGTGCTGGGCCGGGCCCTGGGCTTGCGTAGTGGCCTGCAGACGCTCCGGTGGGCGTGCAGGGCGCTGTGAGGCCCAGCTCGGGCCAGGAGGTGGAGAAAGGCCTCCCTGAAGACATGACCTCTTGGCCAAGAATAGAGTAAGATTGGACCGGCTGGCAGACATGGGAGACACATTACAGGAAGCAGCTCGTGCAAAGGCCCTGAGGCCTGAGGGACCTGGTCCACCCATTGGAGGAGCTCTGGGAACACGAGAGTGGCCAGCGCCTGTGGAGGACGGTGGTTGACGAGGCCCAGAGATGTCTCTCCCAAGGAACCAAATTCGTGTTGACAGCTATCTGGCCCATGGGACCGTCTCTCTGTCAGACAGCACAGGAATGGTTGGTAATAGTAGGCCTGTCCCTAGTACGTGGGAAAGCCCTGTGCCATCGGGTGAGCTGGGCACAGAGCAGACTACTCATGCAGGACCGAGCTCAGGACTCTGGGAGCTTGGGGAGGAGGTGTTGCCCAGAAGGCTCTGCCAGGTGGACGCGGCCTGAGGATGACCGTGCAGTGTCCACCGTCAGAGGCCTGGACACCCGTAGTCGTCTTTCCTTGTGGGCTGGTGGAGTCTGGCGGGAGTCTTAGGTGCCGGTGATGGTGAGGTCTGGGGAACGCTCGTCACCGACACTGGGTCCCCGCTAAGGGACTTGCCCACTCAGTGTCTGCAGCTTTCCCCCGGCCCTGGCACATCTCCAGACTTCCGGAGCCCTTGCCCCCCATGGCCTGTGCTCCATGGCGTGCGTCTCCGGGGTTACGGAGGCTGAATGCGAGGAGCCGGGCACAGGTGCGGTATTAACCGCACACTTATTCCTTCCTTCCGAGGGGAGGAAAATCTGAACGTCACCCCCCGCCCACCGTCCAGGCTGCGAGCTGCAAACGAGTGCGTGCGGACATCGTCTGGAATTTAGAAACACACTCCACGCTCTCAGATCAGTTGTTCTCAGCCCTGTTTTCCTCCCACAGAGGAGAGCCGCTGCGGAGACGCTGCACTGCCCGTGGGCAGCGGCCTCCCTGTCAGGTCCCGCGTTCTGAGCGTGATGAGCACTGACCACTGTCACCTCCTGACCCCAGCCACCGCCACCGCCGCCCTGTGGGGCCGAGCGGGCTCGGGGTGGGTGGCGGCTCCACAGGGGACCCGCCCGTGTGCCCAGTGTGTCACCGTTTATCCTGGCTTGTTTGCAAGACCAGAAGAGCAGGCTTCCAGGCTGGTCCGTGCAGGGAGCGTCTTGCTGTCGCCATAGGGATTTTCCGGGTGGAAGAGTTCGGACCCGGATCTCCAAGCTGTTCACGGCCTGGGTCTTTAACTGGGTGTGGCAGGATCTGCGAGGCATCAGCATGGGTCCTGAGTCTCCTTGGAGAAATGGTGTTAGTGTCCCAGAAGGCAAATTCTGCCATTCAGCTGGGGTCACGTGATTGCTAGCGAGGCTGGCAGACACCAGAGCAAGGGCGGGCGCCCCACAGAGACATGCGGCAGCCCCACCCCAGGCCCCTGATCTAGGACTTGCGGCCTGCAGGCTGAGCCCCCGTTCCCGCCGGCGTCTGGCTCAGGGACCCAGCTGGGCACCCCTTCCTCTGTGTCTGCGTCAGGCAGGCAGGGGGCCCGTGCATGGGACAGAGCTCTGCACGTTCCCGCGTGCGTGTATGGAGGGTGTAGACCCGCAGCGGTGGCCGGGGCTCCTCGCTGACCTGCAGGTGTCTGCTCCAACTGCACTGGCCCTGGGGGTGCCCAGACCACTTCCAGAGCGGGGGCGGAGGCTGTGTGCCCCCTGGGTGCTCCTTGCTGGCGGCTTGTCCTCACTCCCACCCTCGAGTCCCTGCGCCCTTCTGCCTACACGTCCATCCGTCCCTCCTCCCGCCTGCGCGCCTCCTTTCTGTGCCTCTCACACACACCACATCTTAAATATTAATGAATCACCCAGCACACAGCTTCCTGTGCGCTGAGAAACAAAGGTTTCTGCGCATTGGAAACTGGAATCCCTTTTTCCAAGCACGTGACCGCTGGTCCCCTTCGGTGTTCGTGGATGTGCGCGGCTGCGTAAGGCGGTTTCCACCGAATGACAGTGGTGTCTGTCTGCTCTCCCTGCAGATGAAATCATGCACCGGGACATCACCCCACTCTGCGCCGCAGACATCCAGGACCAGCTGAAGAAGCGCTTTGCATATCTGTCTGGTGAGCGCGGGGTGGGCAGGAGGGAGGGTCCGCGTGCCAGGTTGTGGGCACCCCTTGGTTTCCTGTGACTACGTGGGCCCGGCCCAAGCGCTGGGAACCAGGGACAAGGCCTAGGACATGGCCTGCTTTGGATTTCACCGAGGGCCGGGAGATGTTGTGCAGCTGGGGGAGGGCAGCTCGGGGTCCTGAGAGCGACGCAGCCCGAGCGCTCCTGCCTGCAGACTCCAGAACGCTCCTGGGGCAGGTGATGTAGAAATAGGGCATAGCTGACCTCCTTCTTGCAGCGTCCAGGGGCTGAGGGCCTCCCTAGCCAAGCACACCTGGCTTCTGCAGAGAAGGCCCCAGAGTGCAGCCGACATGGACAAGCGGCCGACTCTGCCCCAGCAGCCTATCCTGAGGTCCCCCTGTATCCTCAGACGCTGCATGGCTGCCACACTCCCCTCAGGTCCCAGTTTGCCTCCACCCTGTGGGACGACCTGCTGTCCTGCCTGGCTGGCCGTGGTGTGCGACCCCAGCTGCTGGACGGTGCTAGTGCATTGTGGGTGCTAAGGGTATGATTACATCTGTGCAGCCGCCCTCACGGCTGCATGGGGGGCCCCCATCTGGACAAGACAACCTCCCATGGGTTCCTTGTGCTGTCAGTCAGGGCCTCTCCTTCTCTGGCGTGTGGCCCTAGATGCAGACGGCCCTCTCCCCTCATGAGCCCCCAGACCAGCCCCGCACCCCCCAGGGCTGCCCTGGCCCTTCCCTGGCTCACCTGCCCATCCCCTGGGCTGGAAGCGCCACTCCTCCAGCCGGGCCCTGACGTATGGTGCCTGACGTGTGGTCCTGACGCATGGCCCTGACGTGTGGCCGACGTGTCATCCCTGACGCGTGGCCCTGACGCGTGGCCCTGACGTGTGGTCCTGACATGTGGTCCTGATGCGTGGCCCTGACGCGTGGCCCTGACACGTGGTCCTGATGCATGGTCCTGACATGTGGCCCTGACATGTCATCCCTGATGTGTGGCCCTGATGCGTGGCCCTGACGCATGGGCCCTGACGCGTGGCCCTGATGCGTGGTCCTGACGTGTGGTCCTGACATGTGGCCCTGACGTGTGGGCCCTGACATGTGGCCCTGATGTGTGGTTCTGATGTGTCATCCCTGATGTGTGGCCCTGATGCGTGGTCCTGACATGTGGTCCTGATGCGTGGCCCTGACGTTTGGTCCTGACACGTGGTCCTGATGTGTGGTCCCTGACATGTGGCCCTGATGCGTGGCCCTGATGTGTCATCCCTGATGCATGGCCCTGATGCGTGGGCCCTGACACGTGGCCCTGATGCATGGCCCTGACGCGTGGTCCTGATGTGTGGCCCCGACATGTGGCCCCGACACGTGGTCCTGACGTGTGGTCCCTGACATATGATCCTGACGTGTGGTCCTAACCCATGGTCCTGACACGTGGCCCTGACGTGTGGTCCCTGACGTGTGGTTCTGACGTGTCATCCCTGACGTGTGGTCCTGACACGTGGCCCTGACGTGTGGGCCCTGACGTGTGGCCCTGATGTGTGGTTCTGATGTGTGGCCCTGACAAGTGGCCCTGATGCGTTGTCCTGACATGTCCTGATGCGTGGCCCTGACGTTTGGTCCTGACACGTGGCCCTGACGCGTGGTCCTGACGTGTGGTCCCTGACATGTGGCCCTGATGCATGGCCCTGACGTGTCATCCCTGATGCGTGGCCCTGACGCGTGGGCCCTGACACGTGGTCCTGACATGTGGCCCCGACACGTGGCACTGATGTGTGGCCCCGACATGTGGCACTGACATGTGGCCCTGACATGTGGTCCTGACGTGTGGTCCCTGACATATGATCCTGACGCGTGGTCCTAACCCATGGTCCTGACGCATGGCCCTGACGTGTGGTCCTGACACATGGCCCTGGCGCATGGCCCTGACGTGTGGCCCCGGAGCTCAGGGGTCCCCGTGGGATCTGAAGGTTGTCAGCAGGATGGGGGTCTCTGTGGGGACACGTCAGCAGTAAGGCAGGTTTGTTTCGTGTGGTGCCTTGGTCACTGGAAGAGGCACTGCTCCCAGCGGGGAGAAGCGGGGTATCCTTCAGAGGAGTGAGAACCCCTTGACAACACGAGGGTCATGGTGCCCAGCGGCGAGATGCTTAGCCAGGAGGCTGCGGGCCCTCTGCCGGCTCCCTCCGTCTCCCCAACCTGTTCTTGCCCCTTCAGGACCCCAAAGGCTCACGGCTCTAGTGCACCAGTGACCCAGATTCATGACCTTGACCTTCCTGCAGGTGATAATCCCACCGCTCTTGGCATTACTTGGGGAGGAAGCAGGGCCGCAGGCCGGCCCCGAGCCCCCCACCCCCCAGACACACCTTTTCTCTAGTATCCAAACTCCAGCCAGCAGCTTGGGAGGGGACTATGTGGACGTGACGAAGGACCCCCTCGGTGGCTGTGAGATCAGCCCTGTGGGCCTGACCTAGCGGGCTGGGCCTCATGAGGGCCAGGCTCCTCCCACAAGAAGGAGCATGAGTCCGGGGATCTGGCTGAGTGACACTGACGGGGGACCCGTCCCATGTCATGCCACACCCGGCACCGTCCACGGAGAATGTCAGCGTGGCTCAGGGTGCGCCCAACCCCTTCTCCAGTAGTGCCCATACGGTGTGCCCTGCACGCGTCAGAAGGATCTGCCCCCCTCCCCGGGTCTCCCAGACACAGTCAGGTTTTCAGCATCATTCCATCAATGGCCATGATACCTGCTGTTTTTGGACATCATCGTAATTTGGCAGGATTATGCAGGACACGCCTGAGAAACACCAGGAGGTGCCCCGTGGCCCGAGCCGTAGCAGGGGGCTGCCCGTATGCGCTTCAGTGAGATCCAGGATGTGCGGAGCCCATGCTTGCGGCCCAGGCTGACCCAAAGCTTAGCTCGAAACAAGCCCTTTTACTGGTTTGTTGTTAATTCCCTGGGCGGGAATTCTGGAAGGGCCGGCCGTGTGGTTCTCTCTCCCCGGGTGGTGCTGGCCAGCTGGAACATCAGGGGGCTTCCCTCACACATGCGGCGTTCCGGGGCCCCTGCGTGACGCCGGCCGCTCCCTCCCTGGCAGTGCGGGCTTCCTCCCCAGGAGGGAGCTTGGAGCAGGGAGGGTGGACACTGCGTGTCTTGCGGTCCAGCCCGGAGAGCTACGCCGCATGACTTAGGCTGCATCCGACAGCCAGGACAGGGGGCCGGGGCAGGAGAGATGGGCCCATCCCTCAAGGGGGCGGTCTCCAGCCACCCCGGCACCGGCGAGCAGGCCGACCTGGAGCTTGGGTCCCAGTGACTCCTGCGTGCTCTCAGCCCTTCCCTGGACTGTTTGCAGGACGGTTCAGACCACGTGAGCCCCAGACCAAACTCAGCCTCCTCTTCAAGCTCCTCTTCCCAGGTCCTGAACCCCACACCCGACCAGCAAAGTCCTTCAGGTCTCCCACCCGCCTGGTGCCCTCCCCCCTCACACTGCCAAAGGGATGGCCCCCTTCAGACCCCAACTATCTGAAGCCTTAGGAGGTCGGCTAGGGTAGGAGGCTGGGCACTGTGCAGGGTTTAAAGCAGCTCCCGGCACAGAGAGCCGTACTTCTTGGCGTTAGCGAGCAAACAGGACAAGCAGCAGCGCAATCGTGTGGAAAGAGGCACAGGGAACATTCTGGAGGAAACGGGCCACGAATTCTGGCAGCTGCCCCGTGGCGGCAGAATAATGGGGGATTGTTGGAATGCGTGTCACTCTTGTCCACACCAAGGGGTTCCTTGGAAAGCACACACGTCTTTCCTAATAAGCAAGCACAGCCTTGACAAAACGCCATCAATTCTAAGCGGACGCTGGTGCTTCGGGAAGGCGCCCGCACTAAGCGCTGCCTCACTCTCTCCCCAGGTGGGCGCGGGCAGGACGGCAGCCCCGTCATCACCTTCCCGGACTACCCAGCCTTCAGCGACGTCCCCGACAAGGAGTTCCAGAATGTCATGACCTACCTCACCAGCATCCCCAGGTGCGTGTCGCTGAGCCCCAGGCTGTCAGAGAAGGAGGTGGTGCTGAGGGGCTCACGGCCCCGCAGAGCCGGCGGGGTCCAGAGCCTGCGTCCTGCCCCTGCCCTTGGGAAGTGTCGGCTCCAGCCCCAGCACCTGGGGTCCGATGGAGCCTGGGACCTTCCCTTGATCCGTTCGACAGACCGGGCCACTGTGAATGGCAGGGGCTTTCGTGCCACTGGAAGGAGGCCACAGCACAGAGTGGCTCTGAGACCCTCTGGGGCTCGGCCTGACCCGTCGTCCCCCTCACGCTCTCGCGGGGGGAGAACTGACCCCAGAGGCGACTCCCCCAACTGTGGTTCTGTTTTATTATGAGCAGAGCTGGAGCCCTTCTTCCAGAAAGGCAGGGAAACTTCCCCCGTAGCTCCCCGGCCGCACTTGGGCGGACGCCACACCACCCGGGGCGCCCACTCCACCACGAGAAGTGGTGAGGATGTGGACCTTACACCCTGATGAGCGAACACCATGGCTGTTGAGCCTCGTGGGTGATCTCGTTCCTCCGGTGACATCAGGGTGAGGAGGAGGTCAGCTGCAGTGTAGGAGCTCAGCCCCCCGGGTCCCCGGAGACGCCACCCTCATTCTTCAGCGTCCATAAGGACAGGTTTCTGAATTTGTGTAAATTAAGCTCCGTGAATTAGTCTAATCCAGAAAACAGACCAAAACAGCAAATTCGATTGACTGGTTCCTGTTGTATGAAAACTGCCAACCAGTGACAGCCCATCACCGATCAGTGCTGCGGGGTCCTAGATTCTTCTAGCAACCTGGGGGGGAGCCCTCCTCAGGGACGTGGGTGCTGAGTAGTCTCCTGGCAGGAGAAAGGTGGGCCACGGCCTGGGTCACATGGGGTCTGCCGTCCTTTCTTTCCAAGCACCGGGCTCTGGACGGGCGGCCTGGGAGCCCAGCAGCTTCCTTAGCACCCCTGGGCCGGCCGTGCGCCCTTGAGGGGCTTCCTGGTGGGGCTGCAATACCTCAGAGCATCTCTGTTCATTGTCTGGGCCCTGGGATCAGAGACAGGACGGCGGTCTCAGGCCTGCTCAGCCCCCGAGGCCATGGGGCAGGAGTGTAAGCTCACGGCTGTGAGGTGGCCGGAAGATGCGGGCTTCCCCGGAGAAGCACTGGGGAGGGTCCTTGGGGAAGGGACACTAGGATGCCGGGGTTCGAAGACATGGGGGGTACCCAGGACGGTAACTCTGGCCCCCCGTGTGCACCGCGGCGGGCACGTGGGACAGGGCAGCCCCTTGAGTGTGAAATGACTGAACACGCAGTGGTTTTAGGGAAGGACAAGTTCAAGGGATTTGGAGAGAAAACGGGGACGGCTGGGGTGGGCTGCTGACCGTGGACGCCCGTGCAGTCCCTGGTCTTCTGAGTGGGGGCCGTCCTGAGTGCAGGAGACGGTGGCCGGAGCGGGCCGAGGCGGCCTGACTGCAGAGCTGGCTCAGTGCTGAGCTGGGGGTCACAGGGCCCTGTGTTTCCGGGCACTCCTAGATGTTTTGAAAGGCAAAGAATCATGTTATATCTGGAAATGTGAACAGCCAGTGACCCAGGTCTGATGTCGAGGCTGCAAGAGGCACGATGCTGGGAGGGGGCAGCGGGACCCCCAACACACTCTCGGTCCTTCCAGGCTTGTACGTCTCCTCACCCCGGGGTCCCCATCCTCACTAGTTGGCAGATCTTCTGGCCTCAGGGCCTTTGCGCTTGCTGCCCCTCGGTGGACCACTTCAGATGGCTCCTTTTCATGCTTCAGGCCACCCCCTCAGGGAGGCCCCCATCACACCCTCCTAGAGAAAGAAGCAGGCCCTCCACCCTCAGGGCCCCTCACCCGCCAGGCTTCCCGGATCTTATGTGAAATGGTCGTGCTGTCTGCGAGGTTTCAGTCCACGTCTGCCCGTGGTAAATGTGTGCGGACTCATAGACTGCATGTGCGGAGGAACGAAGTCAATCACAGGGCCAGCTGCCTGACTCGGAGGCCCCCGTGCTCCCCTTTGTTTGGGACAGCAACCTTCCGGCTCCTCTTCTATCCCCAGCAGAACGAGCGCTGTGCGGGACCCCGGTTTCCAGGAGCATGTGCATGGCTCATGTGCGGGCAGAGGGAAGGAAGTGCGGTTGGGTCTGTCGTTCCGCGGCGCTGGCCAGGTGGCTGAGAGGCCGCTTCGCGTATTTGAGGCCTGGAGCCCTGGGCTCCATCTCCGGAGACAAGGGTGTGCAGCGGCGTTGGTCAGCGTGTGGTTTACTCACGTCTCCCTTCTTCCCGGAGGAGGGCGCGAGCGCGAGTGCCAGAGAGCTGGATCTGGGCCCGCCCGACCCCACGTGCCCGTGATCTGAGAAGGCAGCCCCAAGGGCACGAGGGGCCCACAGAAGAGGAACCGGGTGCTGGGTGTGCGGCCGCGGGAAGGCGGCATGGCCGAGCAAGCTTGAGGCGGGCACCCGCGGCCTCACCCCGAGCTCCCGCCGCACCTCCTCGACGGGCTGTCAGTCCTGACCGTGAGCGTTGCCGTGGAGGCTGGCGGCTCTGAAAGAGGGAACTGTTCAGGTGGAGCTCTAAAGTACAGGAACGGGCGGTCTCCCTGCACGGGGCCGCTGCATTCCCGCACAACGGGCGCTCACCAAAACCACGGGGCCGGAGCCGTGCCCAGCCCGGTGCGGGGGAAGAACGTGGCATGCGAGGGGGGCCGTGCCTCGGCTCTCCTGGGGGGACCCGAGGTGCCCCCACTGCCTCCCCCGCGCAGATCTCTGTCCTGACCCCAGGGGTGGGGACGTGGGCGGGGCCCCTTCCAGAAGGCAGGCCGGAGCCCCTCACCGGGCAGGCTGGGGCTGCCGGGCCGGCGTGGCCTCCAGGTGGAAGGGTAGCACGACGGCCTGGCGTGGGCTTTCCCACGGCACAACTCGCACACTGGCTGCTTCACGATAAGTCACAGTTTTTAAACCCAGCTTTAATTTCATCTTTGAAAATAACGTGCCATGTGCCGCGTCAGTTGTCCTCGTCATTAATGCAAACGGCCCGAGTTCAGCCCCGGCGCTGACTGGTAGTTACGGTTGAAACACGGCATCGCACCACGGCGGGCTTTGTCCGCGTGCATCCCACGCACGTACGTGGGAAACGCTTCAGTGGTCTTCCGAAAACCTCAGTCAAGGGAATGTGGTACGGTGCTGGGATTGGGCGGGCAGCAGTCAGCCGGCGTCCAGCGGCGTGGTGGCTGCTCGGCGGGCGACCCTGGGAGCTCTCGCCTGGCCTGAGGGCCGGGTCTCGCCATCCAGATCCCTAGGACGCCGGCCGTTCCTCATGGGGCTCACTCAGCACCGTCGCCCAGCCTTGCCCAGGGTGGCGTCTGTGACCTGCGCACAGCAGAGAGGAAGTCAGACACAGGCGCCCTGGGCCAGTCACCCCGTCGCTGTCCGTGAGAAATGTCCGGGTTCTGACACACTTGGACCCAACAGTAAACAAAGTCCTGCTACTTACATTCTCAGGAAATGAAGTAGGTTGTGCACAGGGGTGTGGAGTTTGAAAGGGAAGAATGAGAGAGAAGGGAGGTGAGGGGCCCGGTCGTGGGGGGAGCGGCGGGCACCCTGGCCCGTGGCCTTCAGGGCCCCCTTTGCCCAGTGAAATGGGGCAAAGGTGCGTTGTGGGAGGGGCTGCAGTCTCCGGGACGGGCATGGTGTCCCCACCAGGCGGCAGCAGTGCAGCTGGCCCCAAGGTTTGGAGGGAGCGGTCACCCGAGAAGGGAAGGAGCACGGGGGAGGCCAAGCCCGCATGTGAGCCAGGGATGGGAGCTCGGCCCCAGCAGCCTGTAGGTTTGGGAGTCATGGGCATTTGGGGGGTGAGGCCCCCAGGGGTGGGGTGGGGGCCAGGAGGGGAGACCTCAGATGTCCCGGCTGGGGCGACCACCTGCGTGGGGCCTGTGGCTGCTTAGAAGCCCCTCCCTCCCAGGTGTCCTGGCTGCAGCCCTGCACGTATGGTCGGCTCGTGGGGAGATAGCATGAAAGCCAGGAACTCAGCACGAGTCTCAGGACAACAGGCCGCTGGGGCCCTGGCAAGAACAGTCTTGATGGAGGGTTGGAGGCGAGATGTCGATTGGAGTAAATTTAACAAAAACTGGTGGAGCAGACTCGGAGACTAGGGGAGCAAAGAAACAGAACGGGCAGCTGGAGAGACAGATGAGGACCAGGTTCTCTTTTAAGATGAGAGAAATCATGACATATTTATGCTGATAGAAATTACTCCATAAAAACAAAGAAAAGTGGCAACAATCTGATTTTTCTTACATCTAACCCTGTTCTTTGTGCGCTGCCTCTGAGTCCATTACTAAGCAAACCAGGACAGGGATTACAGAATCCGTCCAGGGGGCACAGATGCCCCAGGCTCCAGTCCCTGAACCCCTCGGCCCCTCCACTCCTGTGGTTCTAAACCTGGACCCCCTCCCCCTCCTGTGGCTCCACACCCTGGACCCCCTCCCCCTCCCACGGTTCCACACCCTGGACCCCCTCCCCCTCCCGCGGTTCCACACCCTGGACCCCGTCCCCCTCCTGCGGTTCCACACCCTGGACCCCCTCCCGTGGTTCCACACCCTGGACCCCGTCCCCCTCCCGCGGTTCCACACCCTGGACCCCGTCCCCCTCCCACGGTTCCACACCCTGGACCCCCTCCCCCTCCCGCGGTTCCACACCCTGGACCCCGTCCCCCTCCCGCGGTTCCACACCCTGGACCTCCTCCCCCTCCACGGTTCCACACCCTGGACCCCGTCCCCCTCCGGCGGTTCCACACCCTGGACCCCATCCCCCTCCGGCGGTTCCACACCCTGGACCCCGTTCCCCTCCCGCGGTTCCACACCCTGGACCCCGTCCCCCTCCCGCGGTTCCACCCCTCTCCCTCCAAGCATGCCCCCAGTCCATCTCCTTCTTTCCTCTCACCTGGTGGTGGAGCCAGTCTTGCCCCATCCACAGTGACAGAAGTGGTTTCCACACTCAG